AAAGGTTTGGAAAGTTTGATAAAAGATGCTTTGCAAAGCCATTTAACAAAGTTTATAATTTTATTGGATGATCAACATGGTATCACTAAGAATATATACTCCAATTAAAAAGATGATCCGAGAGATATAAAGTCCGATTCAGAACAAGCTCCGGCAGTTACTAATAGGAACATATACACAGAGTAACAACGCGTTCACAGACACGTCATACGTTCTCGTTCTCGGTTTTTAGGTCAGCCATACTCAGAAACTCGCTTAGTAACAAGTATGTCAGAAACCCGCTTTCCGTCAATAGCCACCGGGTGTCTTTAAGGTATGAGGGGTTATTGTATATATATCTCAAACAATTAATAAAAAACATGCAAAAACAGAAATAAGTATGTTTTATTGTATGGTATAATTACTGCGATAGATTAAATTGTAATACAATAAAAATCCCATTTTGCTCAACAATCTCAATTGTTTATGCTACCTGGAATTACATTACAAGAAGACCCCTTAAAACGATTCAACAAATCACTGTCTACGTGTGCTTTCAAACATTCTTACTCTGCTCAACGACATGATATGTTCGAGACATGGAAATCAGTGGCGTACCATTTTCAGTTTAATTTGTAAGTACTTATACTAGCTATAGACACGTTACGTTAGTAGCGATATTTGCTTCAATATCAATGTAAATATATCGTACTACTTCTACTGAATATTTTGTAAGGTAAAGTTTGGAACATGATAGTTTCTAGATGAAGGTGAATATCGTGATATAAGTTATAACTTGCGAGAGCACCTTACCTACTGAGCCTATCGTTGTGAGTTTGCTTTGCTAATCGAAACGGAAGTACTTATGGCTGTTAAAGTTTAACTTAAAGTTAAAAGTATAAAATAATTTACAGTTTTTAATTTACTTGAAGATCTTAGTGAACAATTAAGTATTATTAATTTTAATCATAAAACATTCTTTGGAAGAGGATGTGCATTGTATGTGTTTTAGTTATGTGTTCTTACTGCGTCAAACTATTTTGAACCGGTTTGGTATATGTGTTTTAATTAAGTTACATAGCTATTATGTGATGTAAACAGGGTGACCAGATTCTTCAGGTGGAAAAGTGATTGATTTGCAAAAAAAGTTCTAAGTTCCTGAACATTGGTGGCTAAATATGAAATGTGGATAAATCACTAAGTACTTATCATATTGATCTTATTATTTGTTCACTGGTTATATCACGTAATTATATGACTCATGCTCTATGATATGGCAACAGCAAGGTAGGAAGAGTTGCCTAGTCCACAGTTTTCAAGTTGCATGCTGGAAATTTTAGGTTTTCGTGGGCTGCTTTTCTTGGTCTGCTGGTAATTTACATTCAGTGAAAATTTATTTTTGAAAGAGTAGACACATAAGTAGCCTGAATACCATGTTCAAAGGTATCTGTATTATTCCAACGAAAAAAACAACAACAAATAAACGGTATCAAGTCCACTATATAATAAACCAATTTCTGATCCACTTTTTTACCTTTCTCATTTATCCCCGATGCCTGAATAGGCATATCATACTATCTAAGTATTAAATGGAATAGAAAATAAGATACAAAAAGAATAAGTTCATTTTATTAAAATTTATTAATGAAATATAGTTTAGCAATCAAATATAGTCCATAATTCTGCATCTTAAAACTAATTTTTTTACAGATTTTCCTAGAATTGCTTGATATTCCACATACATGATTAATTTTACCTATTTGAAGCACTTATATTGCAATTAGCATAGAACTGAAAGATATTCTTAATACATGTAGAATATTAAGCAAAAACAAAATAACTGATGGGAAATTTATTCATATATTGATGAGTTAAACTTCTCAAACATACTCTTGGAGGTTAAAATTTTAGACAAGACTCACTATATCCCTTGATACATTCTCGGGCAGCTGCATACTTCAGGAGTGAAGATGCATTGAAATGATTACGTTCTGCTTTCATCATAAATGGTGGATCGTGGATCTCGAAGATTTGTTGTCTGATGTCATCCTCAATGCCAATTGTAAGGACAAGAGAGCGAAAACAGAGCTAAGCAGTCAACATTCTTCAGTGATTTTTCAAATTTTCAATTAACAATGTGCTAGAAAAATGCCAAATATTCTAAGATAATGCTAGAAATGTGCTAAGTCTTTCAAAATGCCAGATTTCATGCTAAATCACTGAAAATCACAAAAATGCGCTAACGCGGCCCCTATGGGTTAGCGGTAAATTTACGGACTAGTAACACCAAAATCTGAGGTTAGATTCCCTGTGGTAGACAGAGTGGAGATAGCCTATTCTGTCGCTCTGTGCTAAAACAAACTTGTTTATAATGTTAACAATCGGAATTTGATAATTGCAGTAGCCACGGTGCAGATAGTCAATTTTGTAGATTTCCGCTTAAAAACAAACAAATTACATACATATATTACCGCGATGCAAATTCCCTAAATTTGGAGGGGGTATGACTAAATTTTGCCGATAAAATGGTGGTTACCAGGATGTGAACGGTGGTCCAAACGTTTTATTTATATAGTGCAGTTAAATGTTTGTAAGTTAACTTCGATCACATATTCCTTATATACAAATCTTATAACATTTTAACCAAAAAACAGACTAAAACCAAAGGACCTATATCATAAGTATGTGATAAACTATAATGTATGTATTTGATATATGAATGTAACATGTTCAGTAGTTTAGTGCAATATAGCAATACACCTTAATTTCAAGCCAGCTCGCATTGTAGCTAGCCGATCTAAGGTAATTTCATTAGTGACGTCTTTTTCACAAGCCATCAATAGAAGTTTCTCTAATATTTGTTCGCTCATCTTTGATTTGCACAAGTTTTTCACATATGCACGTTGACCCCTGGTATGCATAGGGTTAATTAGCGTGCTCTGAATAAAAAGATAATAGGCATTTTCGGATATTCTTCAATGGAAAAGGTGTAGATTGAGATAAAGTACTAAAACTATCAAAACTGTCGACAGATTACTGTGCGTCACATGATCGAGTTAGGAATTTTATCATTTTTTGCCATGCATTTGCCGAAATTTTCTCGGCATTTTCGTTATTTGCCTAAATAGACGTCGCAACAAGAAATTATTTATTTTTCTTCCGAGATTTCTGCACCCCCTTCACTATGTGTCCGATATTATCTGTGTAATTAACTTACTCAGTGTAGTGTATCGGACTATGAATTCAAGGGTTTCACAGTTGCCATAAAATCGTGCTTCGTACTTTGGAGCCGTGGGTGTTGTAAAAGTGATGGTCAGATCCCTCTCTTCAATTAGTGTTGGCGGCGGGTGTTGTTGACTAGCAACTTTTTCTTTAGTCTATCAGTTCAAAATTAGGAACAACTAGAGCAGATAGCTTTGTGTAGCTTTGGCGAATACTCAAAATCCAACCAAACTTAGTACAAGATACATAAAAGAAATTGAACCCAGAATGAAAAACTTATTTGATTTTAATTGTTTCTTTTAGTGCAAAGCCACATTGGACTATCTGCTGTGTCCACCGCGGGGAATCGAACCCCGGATTTTAGTATCGTAAGTGGGTAAACTAATCGCTGCCTTACCAGGGGACTTGATTTTCATTTCTGATTTTTAATAATTTACTTCAGATTTCCAATTTAGTTATCTAAGATAACGACAATGATACAGATGTCGGGTTTTTTGTTTGGGTTTTGATGGCTAAAAATCGAAGGAAGAAGAGCGAAAGGCAGTCAGAGAAAGTTGATGCAGGCAGCGAGAAATATAGAACAATGGAATACCATGGTCGTCAACCTCCAAAATTGAAAAGAACACCATGATTGACTGAAAGATTGATATTATTTCCACATTCATTCAACTTGCTGAAGCCATTTAGATATTTATTTACAACTGATTGATATAAATTGCATATGTAATTTGCATCAGAGTTTCGTTATCTTTAGTGGGCACAGAAAAGATAGCCTATTCTGTAGCTTTGGGCTTAACAACAAACAAATGAAGCATAGCTTATTTTCAAGAAAAAGTAATGATTTCGATTATTCAAATTTTTTAAATAAGATTTCTAAGCCCAAAACTAGAGTCGTTATACATTTATATCTTTGATATTTGCTCAAAAAAACTAGTCCCAATAACCATTTATTTTTAATTAGATTTTTTGCTATACCAAAAAGTATAACAAGAACCCATTTACATTTTTTTTTCACCAAAAATAAGTCCCGAATATGTACTTTCCGTTTGTTATTTTAATTTTTTAAACCAAAAACTAAATAATTTCTCCATTTACCTCTTTGCTTTGGATCAAGCAGAAAAGACTTTCAATAGATAGCTTTGTTTTTTGTGGTTTGATTATTAGACCAGAAACTAATATAGATACCTATTTTATACCAATTATATTTTGCCCCCAAATGACTAGTCCTGGTTGCAGTTTATATTTTCAATTTAATTTCTTATAACCAGAAATTAGAACCGATTAAAAAAAAGCTATAAAATGTATGGTGTCATTCATGTCTTAAGATTACGTCATCATATTGCCATTTTCTTACTTTATAGTAGTAACCAGAATTTCCAAAGTGTGTGAAATATAGCGAGCCGATTGTAGAAGGTGTGCTAGAATCAGCAATTTGCTACTTACAAAGTGTGTGAAATATAGCGAGCCGGTTGTAGAAGGTGTGCTAGAATCAGCAGTTTGCTACTTACAAACTAAATTTCTTTGCATATTTTTCAGAGTAATGCAGTCAGTGTTCCAAAAAGATTATTTCGTATTCTCAAACGTAAAACAAACCTGTACGCTATTCTAAATATTGACATTCAAATAATATTTTCCATTTCAGAAATCATGAGGAAGTTATTCTGGGTGTTCTTATTGATATCTACTGAGTGGTGCCATTATGTGGACTCGAACACAACACAGATATATGCTTCTACTTCAGAAGTTAGACTCCTTCTGGAATCTGAAAGACAGCTAGTTTGGTTGTTACAAAGATATGTTGACAAAGAAGAGGAGCGGCTGAATGTAGTGAAAAAGTAAGAAGGAGAAGAATTAACTCTTACATATCATAAATAGGTATTCTTGGAACAGTTGAAAATTACAAATAATGTAAAATTAGTAATGCACACATTAACCACATAGTGCCTTCACATAAAAAAACCTGATAATTATAACTTTTTGCAGGTTTCTTTCTGTATGATACTGATGCCCTAAGTTGATCCATATTCCTTTGTTTTTCAATGTCATTAAGTACAAGAGATATCCACGTTTTGTAAATTACGAATCCCTGATCTGAACTCATCCTTAGATAAGTTTAGTGGCTTTACTATAAACAAAAGAAAAAATTACATACAAAAACTCTGTGAAAGACATAGAAAAATAAGTCTGCGCTTTGAATTTATAAATAAATAATTTTAAATGAATGATATGACTTTTATTAGTCGATAAAAGTCATATCATTTCTGTGTAACCTTAAGAAACGATTTACTAGTCAATATTTCTTTTTCTGGCTAAAAACATTAAATTCCAGCATCCTGGAGGGGCAGGTGGTAGAGGTCGCATGAACATGATAAGTTAATATCTGTGAACCAATTTACGAGCGAAAGAAATACAGAAATATGTGGTGTGTACAATAAGAAGGAACAATTTTTAAATACACATAAACACGTAAGTAGAATGAATAAATATTTAAATAAAACTATAAGTAAAGATGTGTGAAACAACCGATATAAAGAAAGAATAAGGATGGGAGGAAAATAAAAAGGAATTTAAACAAGCGTCTATTTGAATAAGATAAGCTACACACACACATAAAGAATACTGTATTGTTACGTAAAATGTGAACATAAAGTTAAGAAAAAATATAAAATTTCGAAAAAAATATTATTGTTTTCTTTCGAGAAGAAGCTCAAGAGTCATCACAGTTTTTTTACATGTCATTCCTAATCCTCAGTTATTTTTCTATTTCATCAATGACTAAGGTTTTCATAGTTGAAGCTACAAGTTGAGTGGTACATTTGACAACCATAAAACAACTGCTCAATGAAAATGTTTATTGAGAAAACATGCGGAAAGAATATCGATCTTATTTGCTATTGTCTGATTAGGAACATATATGCAGAAAGTAATATTAAAATTGATTTTCTCCCATTTCAAAGTTATCTGTACACACACCAAATCAAACCATAAATCAATCGGACTCTTTAGAGAAATAATCAACTCAAAACTGTATCCCAATGGGCTTGAAGAGTCATGGTGTTGAACGAAAAACCTTGTCGGCACTGCATGTAGCAGATGTTGTGTGGTTGACATGTTATTATACACTGTTAATTACTTTCACTCAGAAGCTCTTATTAATAATTACTATCATTAAAGTTCTAATTATACAATAATTCGTTCAATATATCAGGAATGGGTACGTGAACGAATTTTAAGGTCATGAAAACTAGTTGGAAGAAAATAACCCGTGATTATAGTAAGAAAAGGCCTTTTATTTTTTAATATTACATCTGTTTACTATGCGGAACAATAAACCCTTTATTAGTCTTAGAAAATGCATAGAAATTGGCACACACTAGTGGTTTTATAACCTGTTTTGTCATATACATCTTTGAAGATGACCGCTTATAAACATAAGACAGGTTATGTTTATGATTAAGCAGTTTGCTTTCGAATAATTAATTTTTCTTCTTCAGGAGAATAAAGAAGACGAAAAATAATGAATATTTCGAAAGCGCTCGAGTTTTGTGTCTCGTTTGAAAACCATTACATGTTATTTCTGTCCGCATTCAGTTAGCATACTTTTACATTCATACAGTTTTATCATTCTGGTTGTCATTAATCACCAGCCGAATAAAGGACAAGCTACAGGCGGATGCCAGTTCTTGAAAGAACACGTTGCATCACAACCATGACTTAGTCCTAAAATAATCTCTTTCTCCATGTCAAAACCCACAGCATTATAATCTCCTTAAGTTCAGATCAGTGGAAGACATTGAATTAAAGCTATAAGCATAAATAATTTAATTATATGCTGATTTTATAATTTATGTCACATGGTGACTAAATGTTTTTGCATTAACTTGAGGAAGGTAAAATTTAAGGATGAAATACTTATTGAAAATCTACTTATTTATAGAAAGCATGTGGCGTTAGTGTTTAAGAGCTTCACATATAGATAATACATGTCTAAAGTGTAAAATGGTACTTGAGCACAAAAGAGGGAAAGTAAACCAGGAAACCCACAAGAAACAGTATATGGTTCAGATAGAAAAAAACATAACATAAGAAATATATCGAAAGGAGCGGGGAACACCACAAGAAATAACGTATAGGATGGTGAGAGCAATTTAAAATTTTAAACTGAACAGTACCCTATGCAAACATCTTCTAAACGGTCAGTTCAGAGATTCCTAGAGTTCGGATACAGCCATAAAAAAAATTGAACTACTGACCAGAGGGAAGACAACCAACAGCACTCACCGCTTTGATAACCAGGTCACAACCGGCTTGAAAGAGAGAAACCATTCTACAAGAAATATAATATTTAAGGAAGGGGAAGGCGTATCCCCCCCCCAATGAAAGAATAGACCATTCCAAGCTTTAACTTGTTGTTAAACAAACGTTTAAACAACTCTATTCAAAAGTGTAACTATGTTTACCATTTCATCGAACGACTTTTAACACATAATGAATACTTTGTTTAACATTTGCCTAATAACACCAAGAGATGGCATCTACGAGTAATAAGAAATTCCATATCTAAATATGCATATGTAAAAAACAGAAAATTTATTTGTGTTTTTAGATATGCTGTACGCTTTGATGGAACACTTAAATACACATTTGAATATTGCAAAACTGAATCAACACTAAATGCCTGAAAATTCAGGAAGAAGTAACAAATGTTCAGAATAAGACATTTTTTTATGGCCAAACTACAGCTTCAGTTTTTATCATCATATTTTACATGTTGATTAAGTTTGAAGTTACATGAATTAGTTGTGCAATATAATGACAAAAAGTGGCTTTAATATGATTTAACACATACGCAGACACAGTGATTATGGTAGCAGTAGAAATAAATATAACGAAATATTTAATATGGAGATATATTGTAATGAAACCATCTGTACTTCTGTTAGAGATCGGTTTGTTTCGAATTTTGCATTAAGCTACGCGAGGGATATCTGCGCTAGCTGTCCCTAATTTAGTAGTGAAAGACGAAGGAAGGCAGCTAGTCATCACCACCCACCGTTAACTCTTGGGCTACTCTTTTACCAACGAATAGTGGGATTGGCCGTTATATTATAACGCCTCCAAGCATGAAAGAGCGAGCATGTTTGGTGGGATGGGGATTCGAACCCGCGACTCTTACATTGCGAGTCAAGAGCCTTAACCACGAGGCCGAATGGTAGAAAAATTAAAAGAATTATAATAAACTAGCGAAAGTACCTGGCTTCGCTCGGGTTATAAGGTTGATAGTGTGTATTCTGAACCAATTTTAGCATAAAAAGTATAACCTATATATATTTTTAGCTAAGCAACATGACATAAAAGCCATTGTTGGAATACATAGTTACCAAAACGCACAGGCTTTTCAATATATTAGTTGTTATATAACCACTTCTTTTCTATGTGGTATTTCTCTAGCTTGCTTATCATGCACGTGGATAAGATAATAATACCCAGGTGCACACCCTCAGGGTTTACTTAGTATGGGTGCAAAATTGCAGGTTCTTTCCTCTTGGAGCTATGGTGGTCACACACACACACACAGACAGCACATGCGAATCTGTCTGTGATTTGTATTTATAATATAAGGAACCACTTTTTTCTATGTGTTTTTTTCGCTAGCTTGCCTCATTAAAAAGATGTGCACACGCATGTGGATAAGATAGGTAATAATACACTCTCAGGAACCATTTAGTATGGGTGCAAAGTTTAGGTTTTTTCCTCTTAGGGCTATGGTGGTCACATATTCTTTTCTATGTGGTTTTTCACTTGCTTACTTCACAAAAAAGATGCGCACGCACGTGGATGAGTAATAATACTCAGGTGCACACCCTCAGGGTCCACTTAGTATGAGTGCAAAATTTCAGGTTTCTAGGTTCTTTCCTCTTGGAGCTATGGCGGCCACAGACCCACAGATTGAATTATCATAGATTGGATGAACGATTCGCAGTGATAACATTGTTGCAAACTAAACACTAAGTGATCGAAAATCTAAATCATAAGTTTTATACTTGAATATATACATATATAATAAAAAACACTTTGAAAGGTGAGAATATAAGTATCAGTTTTTGGAATGGAGAAAATAAAATAATTTTCTTATACATATGTATATGCAAACATATATTTTTCGTGAATTCATCTTATTGTTTTGGTACCATAACAGATATTCTTCCGCCTGAAGATGTTCTTTTAAATGAAAAAATAGTTTTTACACGAATTTACCGAAAATGTATATATATATATATATATATATATATGTGTGTGTGTGTGTGTGTGTGTGTGTGTGTTTGTGGAATTCTTTTTAAAAGCGAAGATTAAGTATTAGGTCGTCAAGAAATTAATGTCGCTTTTTTATTTGAAAAACCCGAACAACTTATATATCAAAGCAAAACATTTATTAAATGAAATAGCCTCCATTCTTGTCGATGATGCTTTTCCATCTTACAATCAGATTGTTAATGCACTGATTAAAGAAATCACTTGGCTTTGAAGCAAAAAACATGTCGATGTACTCTTTAACGGCTTCCACATTTGCATACGTTTTCCAATTAAGATGGTGTTGCAGCAAAAGAAACAATTGTAATCTGATGATGCCATATCTGGAGAATATGGTGGATAGAGGAGAACTTCCAAACCCAACTCCATAATCTTGTGTTGCGTCAAACGTGCCACATATGGACGTGCATTGTTGTGAAGAGGAAGAACACCTTTCCGATTGACGAGTGAAGGGCATTTCTGATGAAGGGCTTGATTTAAACGTTCCAGTTTCTGACTATAGATCTCTACATTGACAGTTCGATATGGATTGAGGAGTTCGAAATGAATTACTCCTTTGATGTCCCACCAAATCCAAAGCATTACTTTCTGCAAATAGAGTCCAGGTTTTGGGGTCGGAAGTAAGTTTTGTTTAGGACTAAGCCATTATTTTTGGCGTTTAATATTCGCATAGAGAATCCATTTTTCATCACCGGTGAGAATTCTGTCCAAAAATGTTTCACGTACATTACGCGCCAGAAAAGAACGTTCACACATTGGAAACGATGATTATCGGAGAGTTCGTAAGGCACCCAAACACATTCTTTATAGAGTTTTCCCATATTCGTTAGATATTTATGCATTGGTTCGTGAGAGACATGCAATTTCAGGGCCATTTCACGAGTGTGTTGCCTCGGGTTAGACTCATCGAGTGTCTTCTGAGCATCAGTATCAATTCCAACATGTCGGCCTCTGCCATCACAGTTTTTAAGGCTAAAGTCACCTGAACGAAATTTGATGAACCATCGTTGACACTTATAAGCGTTCAAAATATTTCCATAAACTTTTTTGATAGTCTTTGCGGCTACAGATGCGTTGTTTCCCTTCTTGTATTCAAACAGCTTTACATGCTTTACAGCTTTACGTTTGTTTGTTTATTTGTTTTGAATTTTGCGCAAAGCTACACGAGGGCTTTCTGCGCTAGCCGTCCCTAATTTAGCAGTGTAAGATTAGATGGAAGGCAGCTAGTCATCACCACCCACCGCCAACTCTTGGGCTACTTTTCTACCAACGAATAGTAGGATTGACCGTCACATTATTATCCCCAACACGGCTGAAAGAGCTGAAAGCATGTTTGGTGGGACGCAGATTGCGAGTCGAGCTCCCTAACCACCTGGCCATGCCGGGCCATGTGTCTCGTCGTATGCTATCACTATAAGTGATTAGAGTATACTGAACTTTACACATTATAAAGGATACACTAGCGTGGCGTTTAGGCGGTTCCTTTAACCATTATACGTGATTTACATGTTTTGGGGTGTGGTTAATGAAAGTGTTCCAAAACGCGACATTAATTTCTTGACGACCTAATACTTTGTTGCTTGTATATTCATGCATGTATATCTTATCTTTCTATCTATCCGTGCTAACACTGGGATTTTATGTATTAAAAACAAATTAAGACATTTCGGTTAAAGCCGAGGTGATCTCGTATAGAAAAACATAAAACTGAATGAAGAACGTAATTCGGTTTCATTGTGCAAGTTGCAATTACGAAATATAAAGCATGTGGAACACCAAAACAGACACCTTTGTTATTTCCGATTTACACCCGTACTGTTAGCCCAAAAAGATAAAATATTTTTTTTTTCAGATATATCGACGGGTTTAGTCAAGTGTCTCCAGGAAGACAACCTACGGACCTCAATCCTCTTCAAGGATATAGGTTACTACAGAGGATTGTTCATGAGTGGCCTCGTATTGAAAGAGCTTTGAAACCAAAAAACAAAGGTGATTTTTTTCTCTTTGTGATTATTGACTGCGATAGAACTTCAGTGTACGTTGTTTTGGTAACAATAACACATTTCATTGCTTTATTTAAACTTATATATGTTAAATTAAGTAAGATGTGCATGTTTAACTTGTAGATTGATGACAATAAGATTTCATTTAAATCCTTATTGTGTTTTCACAAATTTCTTTTGCATATCCTAATATTAATGACGTAAGCGATTAATACAAATTACGCTACTTCCTTCCCATCACTAACTCCAATGTGGCATGCTAATTACACAGTACAATGACAGTATGATTAAAGAAGGCAGTCCTTAATTCTTTATTTTACACATCCAGTTATTTGATTGATCAGAAAAAACTCGCGAAGGATGATAACGTCATATTTCTTTGTGCATTGACGAGAACTTTTCAGAACAATCCATTCCCCCTGTTAGTATCAGTTTAACAAAATAAAAAAGCTTTGAGACAATGAAAATATAACAACCATTTAATATACTTCTTAACCACACAAATGAAACGCTTAACGTAGTTGAGCTTTTTGTTTACTTAGATTAAGCTATAACTAATCTATTGTCATGTTCTATTTCACTTTGTACACATTGTTCTTGAATTATTAGTATAATATTTAATGGGTTTAATTCTATCCGGTACATTGGAACGCAAAAAAACAACAACAACAAAAATACACTGGTTCAGTGGTAATATTCAATACCCTCAATGAGCCCAGCACAGATAGCCCATTGTGTAGCTTTGTGCTTAATAATATACATTTAAACATTGGAATGTAAAAAAGACAAAAACTTTGGCATAACATAAATATTCTTACAATGTTAAAGAGCTAAATGTAATTTTTTTGTTTTAAAATTTCAAATGACCCCTCTCCTTTATTAAAAAACAAACAAACGTTACAACTGTTTAAATGTATTTGTCAGTTAGAACTTCGACTATAGAAACATTTCTTGGAAATATAAGACGTATTAGAATAAAATCTGTTAAAATATAAGCGAAATCATCAAGTCCTTTACACACCTACTATTAACAAAAACGCCCCCCAGTGGCACAGCGATATGTCTGCGGACTTAAAACGCTAGAATCCGGGTTTCGATACCCGTGGTGGGCAGAGCACAGATAGCCCGTTGGGTAGCTTTGTGCTTAATTACAAACAAACATTAACAAAATATGCACTGGATTTGATGCGTACCTTCTGAGTTTTAAGATATCTAATTTGTCTTTCAATTCTTGGAACTGTGTCTGTGCTGAAGTGTAAAAATAATTTAAGTTTAATATATTTTTCTATTATTTTGTCTGACTTATGTTTATTAGCAGACCAGAAAAGAACGAATAATGTCTTTGTCTGTTGAATTTACTGAGTTGGCTGGGCTGGAGTTAACGGTGGGTGCTGTTGAATAGCTGTGCGCAGATAGATATTGTGTAAATTAGCGCGAAAATGTTAAAACAATCGAATAAGCATTACGTTTACACATTGACATTTTTATATGGGACTTTCCTTATTTATCAGAAATATCGTTTACAATTTTCCCAGAGTAGTGACATTTTAGTTTATAATTTTTAAAAATCAATGAGTTAGCTTAGAAATTATTTATTTTTAATTCGTATTTACTATAGAATACGGGGAGGGGATGTCTTAATTCACTGAAAACACTTTCTGTAAGACTTCCACACTTATAATAATGATTATCTTTATTTCTTAATCATTATGTATGAGTTATACTCGTATAAAATATGCATTGCTCTCTTTATCATGACTTTTTATCTAAAGCGTTCAAGTGTGAAAAGTTTATCATTGTAGACAAAAGTCACGAAGTTTTCCATCTAGAAAGGCCGAGCGCGCCCTGTGGTTAGCGTACTGGACTTTGGATGTGGGGTTCTATGGCTCACGCTTCGTAACGGTAAAAAAATAAACAAAAAATTGCGCTCTTTATTTCACAGCTGTGGTTGCGTTATAACAGTGATTGTGAAATCCCATTATACAGTTAGAGTTGGCGATGGATGGTGTTGACTAACTGCCTTCCCTTTAGTTTCTCACTTCAATATTAGAGACGGCTAGCGCAGACAGTTGTCGAGTAGTAGCTTTTTTATGAAAATTCAGCAAAATCAACTCATTTATGATGGTTTATCACCGTGACATTAATACAATGGAAACTAACTCCACAGTAACCAAGACAAAAATTCATGACGCATATTACTGGAAATAATTCTCATCTAGTTTTGTTAATTTTTAATCTTTTTTTTTTTTTTCGTTAACACACATTGTCACCAGACAGTTGTAACTTACCGATACTTCTGTGCTCATTGTTCCAGAAATTACCACAAAAATACGAGAATTAAGGAACCACACCTACACTCCTGGCCAGCAAGATGTTGAGGAGGCAGCATTGGCAGTTGTTCGTCTACAAGATATTTATGATTTGGGCTCAACTCAGCTTGCTAAAGGACAGATTCACCTTCCAAGCCGAAACAAAGAAGTGAAGACACCTGTTCTCTTAACAGGCATAATTAAATATTTTGTTTTTCCTCAGAATCAGTTAATTAGTTTTGTCTTGTTAACTGAAAAAAAGATCTAGCGTGGATGTTATTTTTCCTTAAATCATACTTTTTATTCATATTTTGTAGTACAATACTAAATATAGACATATACTTCTACGTATTTTCTGTTTTGTAGAGGTCGCCGTTCTTCATATGGGTTGACCTCCTCCAATCATCTCTGTTCATTGCCAGTTCTTCTGCAATTCCTTTCTTGTTCATGTCTTATTTAATCCCATCCTTCCAACACTTTGTTGGCCTTATTTGTCTTCTCTTGTATTGTTAGTGCAGCTCTTATGCTCTCTTTATAGCTTGTTCTCTACTCTTCTCTTCACGTCACCAAACAACCTCATCCTCGCTTCTCTAGCATTTTTCTTGATTCCACGGACTCCTACCATTTCCTTGGTTTCTTTATTCATTCTCTACTCTTCCAATGACACTCACAACAGCTTTCTCATTTCTGTTCTTATCAGCAAGCCTGCTTCTTTCTTCTTCAGGGTCTGGGTTTCAGCTCTGTAGAGGAGCATCGATCTAATCACGGTTTTTATGCACTTTGGCTTTCAGTGCCCTTGGTAACCTTTTGTCACAAATGACTGTGGCTAATTCTTTTCATTTCCTCTAACCCGTCTATCTCTCACGGCTTTCTCACTTCCTCCTTCACTTTGGATTATACTCCCAAGTACCTACATTTTTCTACCTGCTCTAGCGACTTTCTGTTTACACCTGTGATCTTGACTTTCTTCTTTTTACCTCTCACTATGACTTCCATTTTTCTGGCATTCACTTTCAAGAATCTTCTTTCCGAACTCTTCACGGCTCGGCATGGCCAGGTGGTTAGGGCGTTCGACTCACAATCTGAGGGTCGCAGGCTCGAAACCCTATCCCACCAAACATGCTCGCCCTTTCAGCCGTGTGGACGTTACAATGTGGTGGTCAATCCCACTATTCGTTGTCAAAAGAGTAGCGCAAGAGTTTGCAGTAGGTGGCGATAACTAGCTGCATTTTCTCTAATCATTCACTGCTAAATTAGAGACGGCTATCTCAGATAGTCCTCATGTAGCTTTGCACGAAATACAAACAAATAAACAAACCACACTCTTCTGCGACATTTTAACTTGCGTTTATAAGTGTTGCTCACGTTCAGCTGTCAGGACAAGGTCGTTGGCGAATAACAGCTTACATAAGGGTTACATGCAGCAATCCTTATTCGATACGTCAATGAAAGTGACGAAAAGCAAGGTGCTAATGACTGACCCTAGGTATAACCCAAAGTTTATTTCAAACTTGTACGCTTCTCCATATACTATCTTCACGATCGTTTTTGCCCCTTCATAAGTGGCTCTCACTAGTCTCATCAGCTTTTCAGGCACTCCTCTCTTTCTGAGGCACCAGTATACTAATTCTTGTGGCATTCTGTCATACGCTTTCTCCAAATCTACAAATGCGTGGTATAACTTCTTGTTTCCTTCAAAATACTTATCTTGCAACTGTCGCAGGATGAAGATTGTGTCTATTGTTCCTCTCTCAGGCCGAAACACAAACTGTATCAGTTTCGATGTCTAAAACTTCCCTTACTCTTTTTTTCAGTACCTTTTCTTTCAGCAGGTACTTCACCAGTTTTATTCCTCTATACTTTTCACACTCAAGAGAATCACACAAACTGTATCAGTTTCGATGTCTACAACTTCCCTTACTCTTTTTTTCAGTACCTTTTCTTTCAGCAGGCACTTCACCAGTTTTATTCCTCTATAGTTTTCACACTCAAGAGCATCTCCTTTCGGCTTGTAGATGGGTATCAATAGGCTCTCTCTTTCCCTTCTGTGGGTATACACTCTTCCATCCAGATGTTCTTCAACAGGGTCTATATATATACAAAGCTCCATCATCTTCTGATATCTTGACCATTTCAAGGACAATCTTTGATAACCCTCCCACCTTGCCAATCTTAATTTTCTGATTGCTTCTTTAACATCCGCTGTACTGATGTCCAGTACTGGGCCTGCTATTGGTGTCTCTCTTTGCTACTTCCCTTTTCTTGTCTATTTTGTGTAACATCTTTTCCCCTTCTGGTGTCTCCATGTTGTTATACCAATTATTAATTGCCTTGTTCTTCGCCACTGCTACCGTTCTCCTAGCCTCTTTTTTTTGCTCTTTTTGTACGCCATTCTTGAATAGTCGTTCTTCTTTATCTGAAATGTGGACGTAAACTTGAACTTTTATAGGTTAGGTATATATATATAAATAAATAAATACATATATATATATATATTGAAAAAAAAGTATTATTTAGAGAATAAAATAGACGACAGGCACTACATCGTAAAAATATAAAATTAAACCAATGACCCGTTCTTTTTCACGCAGCTAATGATTGATTATACCAATGATTCGATCTTTTATAAGTAGCTAATGATTGTTTACATCAATGATTCAATCTGTTTTGTAACAACTAATGACTGATTACAACAATGATTCAATCTTTTGTGAAACAACTAACGACAGATTACATCAATGATTCAGTCTTTTGGGAAACAACTAACGACAGATTACATCAATGATTCGTTATTTTTTACGCAGCTAATGATATATTAAATCAATTATCTGTTTTTCTCCATACAGCTAATGATTGCTTGCAGCTAGGCAGACAGTCTTATTACCATGGTTACTTTGGATTTGCTGTCGACTGGATCCGGGAGGCCCTAGAAAAGTGTAAAGAGAACAAGCATGAGAAAGAGTTACGAGGGAAAGCTTATAGCTGGTTAAAGGTCGCAGTTGAAGAGGTAGATTATATTATATTAATTAACTTAGTATCAGACTCTGTTGTACTAAGTAACTCGTAAGTTGTTTTTCATTAGACGAATAACTGGTAGTTAGTACTAAACTAATTGATTGAGGGTACTATAATAAATATGAAGCCCAATCTATTATTTCACTCACCATTTGTCACCAGTTTTGGGGTATTCCACCCTTTATTCTTCTGAATTGTTCAACAAACAAGCTCTTCAGAATACTAAACATTATTTACCTTATTTGCTGAATAACTCAGAACAATAAATTAGCAGCATCAATGTTACATGTTCTTTAAATCTTACATAGATATAGATTCATTGTAGTGAGTAAACATCAACTAAAGCTACCGTTTTTATCATAGTAATTAAAAAATACGGCTTAACTAAAATATACCTCGTGAAAGTTACATTGAATAAGCACTCATGAATATAACTGCTGTCAACATAATTTTACTCACTTTCAGCTGTCAGGACAAGGTCGTTGGCGAATAATAGCTTACACAAGGGTCACTTGCAGCAATCCTTATTCGATACGTCAATGAAAGTGACGGAAAGCAGGATGCTAATGGTTGACCCTTGGTATAGCCATAGTAGAGAATTGTTCAGGAGAGACAGGTTGTGTGTGAACTTTTCCTTGTAAAATTAAGAAGTTTTCATAAAACCTTATTGTGCTTTAAGTCTATATTTCTCAGTTTTTAAGATATATTTTAAACTGTTTATTGTATCCGAGTGCAAGTTTCATGTCAATTTAGAGTTTTTTATTGCTTATTCTCTTTGTCATATAGCCTGAAGTTATTAAAATATTAATAACTATATTTTTCTAATGTCATTAAAAACTCGTCATAGATTAAGTTCCAATACAAACCTGTTTATTAATTTCACCAACAAATATATAAAAGTCTACTTACTAACGCAAGTGTAAAAATCAGTATTTGCTCCAGCATTAAATATCTACAGAACATTGCTTATGATTGAATACAATCCCAAATTATGGGATACAGTGCATTTTAAAAAGTTAAACAATACAATTATGATTTCATTTTATATAATACGAAATACAGATTTCCAGTATATATCACATGTATACCTTAATAAACTAAACAGTTTATGAGAAAAAAAAATTAATACGCTGAAACTATAGGCTGTGTACATCGGAGAAGCTTGGTAAGGCTTAAGAATAACGCATACCTATAATGCTTTATTACTTGATCTTCTGTAGTCAGATTTACTTTACGACCAACTTTATTTTTCCTAATCTCTTGAGCCACAAAAGTAAAAACAAAATAAGATGTAACTATGTTTACCATTTCTTCGAACGACATTTAACACATAATTAATACTTTCTTTACCTTTTGCCTAATAACACCAAAATATGGCACTACGTATATATAAGGAAATTCTAGTTTCACGGGACGACTAAAATTAGCTAAAAACAATCATGTTAGCAGAATTATCCTGCGAAGATTTTTAACAATAATTTGGAAACAAATAAAAATTACGAACTTAAAAGAAATTACGTTCGTTGAATGTTCATTTCTCTACCATAATATTGTCGATAATGCTTCCTGATAGCTCAGCGGTAAGTTTGAGATCTTAGAACTCTAAATATTTGGTTTATATACTTGCGATAGCCAGAGCACAGACAGTCCGTTTTATAATTTTGCTCTTAATAACAAAAGCATTGTCGTTAAATTACATGTTGGAATTTCCAAATTCCAACTCCCGGGGACATATTTTAGTAAAAGTTGGGCACAGTGACTTTTTACTAAATTAGGGCTTGGTGAAACTGAAAATGCCTGCTCCTAAACTGTATTTAGAGATTTCAGGCCTCAGATTAATAGTATGTAATAAAAGCTAAATTCATTCATTTTAATCTCCGTGTAATCTGAAGAAAATTGACAAAGAACTACATCAGTACCATATGTATGTTTTTAGTTGAATTGATAACAAATTACATTTATTGTGGCCTTTAATTACTTTAAGTATGTAACATCAAATATACTGTTTCTTCACAAGACGCATAACAATTGAGTGGAATAACAGTGTATTGTATTAAATATTGCCTGTATTACATTTTATATGTTGATAATTGTTTGTTTGTTTGTAGTTATGCACAAAGCTACACAATGGGCTATCTGTGCTCTGCCCACCACGGGTATCGAAACCTGGTTTCTAGCGTTGTAAGTCTGCAGACACACCACTGTGTCACGGGGGTGGGCAGTGTTGATGATACTGATATAGGCACAATTTATCACAAATTCACACACAAGTTCAGCTCTCAATGGTACTTAGAAAAATATACATCTATTATCATCTACTTGTTGATATTCTCATCTCCCACGTATATTTAGTGTCATATTGTTGAGGTTCCAACAATACAAAAAAATAAAAATGAAAGCAATGTAGTGACAATTGCTCAGAAACCATTAACTTCTCAGTCCATCAGCTGTATGTTTATTGATAAAATTCACAAATAAGCAGTATGCATATTCCTTTAGCATTTTTTTTAAACAGAACTCAGTTAATACATTGAAGCACCTCCACTCAATCCACCATGAACTGCAGTTAAAATAAATTTTAACCCAATATGAAATATATTGTAATACATAATATTTGAACTTTCTAAATGTTTAAAAAAAAAAGTATCGCTTAGCTTTGGTAACGTAAATAGAGACATACCGTATAGTTACACACTAGAAGTAAACACACACAATCACATGGATAAATACCTATATACTCACAAGAATAAATAGATACAAAGTTACATAACAGGCGTTTTTTTTTTTAATTTAGCAGGTTCGAGTTATGTCAGGAATGACTGTTTTCAATACTTATAAAAAAATGTCCTTTGGTTCTTTTTTAGGCTTATTTCTATGTTTTTGTCGAGATTATACGTTAAGTCAACGTAAAAGAAAGAAAGCTATATGTTATTATACATAAGACATTGAACAGTGTATAATATTTCCTAGGTACATATTTAATGTGTTATGTAACGTTTTAGTAATTAAATATTTTATGCATTATTTTGGTATATATTTATGTGTTTAGTTTAAGCATAAAACTGCACATATCACTATCTGAACTGTGCTAACCACAGGGATCGAACCTGAATTTTAGCTTTTAAAGGCTTCTTACTTACCGCTGAGCCACTGGGGGCTTTTGAATATGCTTTATTTTGAAAAAAAATCTTCGAAGCTCAACTGTATTGGTTAATCACCTATATTAACAGCCATATTTTTAAGTTTATTGTTTTAGTGTATTACATTTATTGATATAAAATATTCAGTGCTGTTTTAACTGTTGACACCGGAGATTATTTTCACAGGCTAAATTTTACTTTCGAAGGAATGAACTTCTACTGTGAGTTACTTGTTTCCTTTTTGCTATTTATGTTCTATAATTTAAAAAGTGTTAACCTCTAAAATTGTCATTGTGGAGATAAATCATAAAACAATTAAAAGCTGTCAAAATAACTCTCTTTTTTCTTTTTTTTTGTAATGTAGCATGACAAAATTTTACTTACCAAAGGAAGCAGAGGTAAGCATAAATTCTTGGAAAAACCATTATATTTTCTGTATTATATAAATGTATCAGAAAGCCATGAATTGACACAGTCCCTTAATGAACAAAAACAAGGGGGAATTTAATTAAATATATATTTTAAGTTAAAGATAATTGCTAATTATGTATTGTCTAATTTGGATAAAATATTTGGAGGATTTTTGAATGGTTTAGTGATTACTTAGTCTTTTCGCATGTTTATTTCACTTTTACTTAAAGTTTTTTTTATTTTATTTCACGTCATATCTACTCTACACATTGCCAACAGTGTCTTTTTTACTATCATTTTCAGTTAAAAAATTAGACATTTCTAGCTGCTTGTTTCAGTTGCACAGCATTTGGTGTAATTTTGAAATACTGCTGTTTGGCTAATGCAGTACTTTGAAGCGAATGTTTAGCAAGTTCATAACTGTTGGTGGACAGTCCAAAGCAGTTATTTGAATATCGCTGATTCCTCTTTTGCAAGCAGTCACGTAATACAGTCCTAAGGCTTGTTTGATCACTTCACTCCATTCTGTGGTATATGTTGCATTTTTCCAACTGTATCACCAAATGAAAATTATTTTGTATTGAATTCAGGCTTTTACAAATAGAATATAATTTTCAAAATGTTAAAATATAACATTGAAATAACAACAACAAAAATAATTGAGTGTTTTGGACCTAAATTTCTTTCATGTGTTCTTTAATTATTGCGTGATTCTAGTCTATGCATGTATATTTAAACATAAGATTGATAGATTCTTACTTATCTGCAGAGTAATGTGTTCTTCGTTCCTCTTTGTTTTTGAAAACATATATCTCATTTCCTCCTTTAATTTCCTCTTCATTTACTCCTGGCTATAATTCAGTTTCTTCCTGTTCTTTGTTCATTCCTATATTAGCTGTATGTTTTACACAAGTAAAACGAGTATCCATGTGCGACAGGTCCAAGCTGGCAGACCTTTTCCAAACCCTTTAACTCACTGTTAAATCACGAGATGGCAGGACACGTGGCTGGTTCGGAGAAATTCAGCCCTCTGCTAAATACGGTATTATACGGAGAAGCTGAGCGAGAACACTATGTGAAGCTCTGCAAAGGTGAAAAACTACGAGTAAGTACTTTAGATATTAATTCGATCAAAACAGAGCAAGAACTGTCTGAAAATAGATATTTCTAAAATAATGGGGTCAATCCTTACTGATATTTAAACTATTTCCAAAAATTTATTAACTTAGTTTCATACATAATGTAGAAAAGAAAACAACGCAGATTATAAATGAAGGGAAGATTTAACGGTATATCGAATTGAAGACATTGCTAAAACTCAGAGAATATAATTATATTTCAAAGATGGTAATTTAACAGCTTCCTTTTTAAATGATGAAAACTTTTAATTGACATCTTTTTAACATAATAAAAATGCTTTGCCTTTCAGAAATGTTTAACAATTAAACGTTTATTTGCGACATTCTATTGGTTTAATATGGAGTTTTGAGTCCGTTTTACTTCGCCATATATTAACCTAAATTAATTTAGGTATGTGAATAATGTTATGCAATATTTTGTACCGTTTTTAATGTTATGCAATATTTTGTACTGTTTACTGACCTACAGCAACGTTATTTCAAAAACAAAGAATATTTTTTTGTAAGAAAACATAAAAAACATGTGTTGACAACTTTATTTTCCGAACAAAAAGGACTATGAACTATGAAAGATATTTTACATCTCTGTTATTCTTCTTCTGTAATTGAAAAACGAAAAGTTTTTTCACAAATGAGTCATTTTCACCGTCTTACTCTGAATATGACAACAATCCCTTATGAAATTGTTATCTATAGTCCGGTGATACCGAGATTGTTAAAAACACAATAACAACAGGTTTACGATCTATTAGTAACTAAGCCTTTCGGGGAGAAAGCTATTTTTTGAACCATAAGGTTCTAGCTCATAAATAAATATTTATTTTTTTCGGGATGTGTTTAGCTTTATGTACCTCCCAATATATAAAACTATCCATTTAAGGTATTAACTCCATAATTAATAAAACTTTTTGATTTAGTAAACATGGATGTAGAGAGCTGAGTGAATATTTTAAAGAAACAGTTACTGTTTTCACTGCTTACTTACAATATACAAACTGAGGAGAAGCTAACATGTTTTCACTCCCTACCTTTTACAGATTGATTGGACAAGCTGACAAGTTTTCACTTTTTTTTAAATGTGACCAGACTAAAGAAGCTGCCATGTTTTCATTGTCTCCATACATAAAATTTATTACTTAAGCTGGCATCTATTCACAGCCTACTTACGACATATAAAGTGACAACAGAAGCTGACATATTTTTACTGCCTCCTTATGTACAAAGTGAGTACAAAAGCTGATATGTATTGAATGTCTATTTGTATGCACAAGTACAATACCTGACATGGTCTTGCTGCTATTTTAGAACACCTAAACTAACCACAGAAGCTGACATTTACCCTCTTACAAACGAACTACAAAAGCTGTTTTTTTTTTTTATTAGAAAATACAATCTGACCAAAGAAACTTACTTGTTTTCACTGCTTCCTTCTAACAAACAAAGTGACTACAGAAGGTGGCATATTTTCTACTTACGTTCATAGAAATTCTTTTGCTTTTTTATATGCAAATAAACTATAGAAACTAGAATGTTTTCACTGCCTATTTACAACGTACAAACTGATCACACAACCTGGCATGCTTTCATTGCCTACTTATATAAAAATTGGCTATAGAAGCTTACATGTTTTTACTGGTATTTACATACAACCTGACTACAGACGCTAACATGTTTTCACTGCTTACTTACAGCAGACAAAATATTTACAAAAACTAACGATTTTTCACTATTTACGTACTGGAAACACAAGTTCACTACAAAAGCTAACATAAATTGAATTAAATTAAAACGGCACTTGTGCAATATATATTCATATGTACAATTAAAAGAAGTACAACATTAAAATAGTTGTACAATAAATAATTTGTTAAAAAAAAAGAGACCAGCCCTAAAAACAAAACAAAAAAACTACATCTTTCGGTGTCGTTAAGTCACTATCTTTTAGAGTAAAAGTTGAAATTTGATCAAGACTTATATAAATAAAATATTATTTGCTTACTTTTCAAACCATCTAGACTTAAACACCCAGCGTTTATAAGCCATATGTTTCTTCTGAACCGGGACCAACTTTTTTCTTCAACATAATATTTTTAATTCAATTTCTATTCACAAAGAATTTTATAAATCCTACCGTTAACAACTTCATCTGCTCTATCTTTTATACCCGTGAGAAAATTATTTAACTTTCAACATGGAGAGAACGTTACACTACATTCTACAACGTATGTTGCTTATTCTTGTTGATAAACCTTGAACGTATGGCAAACAAACTTTCATTTTAACAGCTTTACACCTTCCCTTCAACTTTAGACATGATGATATTCTTGATTTATTGCTATGTTGTTTGTGCAATCTATCAATGATTTCGGGATCATAGTCTCTGTCTCTGTATATAAAAAGACTAATATATTTTTATTGTCTACTTGCAGCATACAAGCTACCAACTAAAACTGGTTGTTTTACTGCTTACATACAACGTAAAAACTTACTACAAAATTTGGCATGTTTTTACTGCTTCCATACACCATACGACAACCTACAAAAACTTTCATATTTTCAGTACTTACCTACACCACATAAACTGACTACGGAAGCTGACATGAAACATGACAACAAACAAACCGGCAAACCAAACTGATAAGAAAAGTTGGCACGCTTTGACTGCCTACTTACAACAACCAAACTGATAAAGAAAGTTGGCATGTTTTCACTGCCTACTGACAAAGAAAGTTGGCACATTTTCACTGTCTACTTACAACAACCAAACTGATAAAGAAAGTTGGCATGTTTTCACTGCCTACTTTCCACAACAAAACTGATAAAGAAGCAAGAGTAGCAAGAGTGTCTGTTGTCGAGCTTAGTATGTCAAGACTATTACCTCTGTTGTCTTCTTTTTATTCATTAAGAAAGATATATATTATGATGTTAACATGCTAGAGACGGTGGTTACTTTGTGTGAAGAGTCGGCTTTCATAAAGTAAAAAGAAAACGACAATTTATTGTTTGATGTCGAGACGTAACAGTAGATTTTGATGGTCATGTTAATTTGTTGACCAGAAGGTTGGAAGGATGTAAGTTTTCACAGGTACTTACACTGTGACGAAAGCGTAATTAAAGGAATGTTTTTAGTTATAATAAGTTATGTATACGTTTATGTTGCGTTATTTATTTCTGGCAGTTATTATGATTTAAAAATAATTATTTCGGAAGAAATAATTACTAATCAGGGGTGCTCGATGATTAAGCAATCCTCCTTCACCCCGCGCTTGGACTAGGAGTATGGGTTTAAATTGAAAAACAGGAAATTAATGCAAACAAGTTGTGTAAATTTAAAAAGGTAAAAGTAAAAGTAAAAGGTAAAGAGGAAACGGCCGATATACGACAGATGGTCCATCAGGGCGGCGGGGATCTATAAATCCTATGCCAAGAAACGGGAGTACCCCGAGAAAAACCACTTTCACTGGTAACGACCAATCTGTTACCACTGCCCGGTTAGCGAGAAGTAAGTTGGAAAGGCAATGTGAAGTCCGGTGCTGGGGGTTGATTAAATTTTAAACGAATTATGAAGTCTCATGATGTTCGCAGGTGCTCTACTGGGGTACAGGTTTAAGTTCCGGTATGGTAGGGACGGCGTGAAGTCCTCGGTGTCGCTGGTAAATGGGCGGAGGGCACAGAAAGGTTCATCGGGTAGGTCGTGGTCGTGGGAGGTGTTTATTACGAGAGCGTTGGATGAATATGACGGCGATGGTGTAGAAAGTGGCACGCGGCTGAGAGGCAGGTTGTTGGTTTGTTGGCATGCGTTACTGGTTACTGGTAGGACTGGCGGCTGGGTCTGGGTACCTTTCTTCCTTCTAGTATTCGTAGTTTGGGTCGACTTGTCTTGTGTTTCAGAAGTGGGTAAAGTTTGGGTATCTTGGTCAAGTGTGATAGGATGGATGGTAGAGTATTGGTTGGCGACGGTTTTCTTTTGGGTGTTGTGAAATGTGAACTGGTAGAGTTAGGGGGTGGGTGAGGCTTCCAGTATGGTTTCTCTGCTTTGAAGTGGTAGAATTCTAGAGAGCAGCCGTAGGTGTGGATGAAGTTTGCAGTAATTTTGGAGGTAGTGACGACTTTCATGAAGTGGGAGGGTTGAACCTGTTTTCCTTGATGTAATACGGTGTACTGCGTGTATCTTTGAATTAGTTGTGGTTTTGAGGGCTTGGTGGATTTCTTCAGGTGTAAATGATACGTGAACGTTTCTTAAGAAATCTGTGTGAAGACTGACATTGCTTTTGGGGGGTTGGCATGTGACGAGTGGGTTTGAAGACCAAGGGTGGCAAAAGTAACGGAGGTCTTCGGGTGTCCAGAGCTGGAGGAGTATACCTCCCTTGCGGAGACGACGGGTACGCTCAGGAAATACGCGGGCTTGGGGTTTGTAGCGGCGGATAAAGTTGGCGGTGTCCCGTGGCGAGACGTCGAGCGGTAGTCCATCGATAATTACTGGGTTTTCCTCCAATGAGCTGAATATCAAGAGGGTATATAGAATAATAAAAAAAAAAACGGAGAAAGTGTAAATTTCCTATGTTTGTTCTAAAGTTCTGAATGATTATTGTTCAAGTCACTTTTAGAACACGCTTACGATTCCAGTCATTCAGACAACTGGTTAATTTCAAGCAAAACTAGAACGAGTTTCCTGTGAAGGAAAATGTGGATTTTTGTGGTGATGACGTAAATCTCATATTCCAAACTTGATGACGAGAAACCCACTTTTGATGACAAAATCTTGTCAAAATGTCGTATATTTGTAATCAAGATTCTTTCACTAGCCATTCAGGTCGTCTCCAAACTTTATTTTAGAACTTGTTTTTTTCTTCTTCTAAAATCTGTAAGTTTATCTTATACCTCTTAAGATCTACATATTCATAATTGTACGAATGTTTGATATTTTAGTCATCCGTCATGGATGCCAAAGTAAAATGCCGGCTGGTGACCAGAAATGTTGGATATTTCTTGCTTCAACCACTAAAAGTTGAAGAACAGTCGTTTCATCCAACCATCGTCACAATATATGATTTTCTCAGCAATGAAGAAACCAATCGTTTTATTGACCTTGCAGTGCCAAAAGTAAGTTTCATGTTCTATACTAATGCTAAATGTAAAATCACAAATTTGAGTAATAACGCTGACGTCAGATGTTTTGCAATAGAGGATTACAAGATAATCTGTACCCATTTGTTGAAAACTAGAGCGAGGTTGCATTATAAGACAGGAATTTTGTGCCGCCTTTATAAAGAGTGTTCCAGCAAAATGTTGCCAGTGTTTAGGAAAAGAACACCGCAATTTGCTGGTTTTAATGCACGAGTCCCTTAATAAGCAATCTTCCTGCTCTGATCTAGTATATATCCTTCTTCCTCTTCTTACACAGTATCTGAAAGGTAAACGGCCCACTAACGATATATATATATATATATATATAATGATAACATTTTGCTGTGGCACGCTATATCATTTTTTGATGTAAATATTATATTTAACCTTAAACTTTCTAACATAGTATGATGAGAAAATGGCACGTAGAAAGTTTTATGAACATAAAACAGCCAGCAGTTTTGTTTTTTCACTTGCACCTGCTTTTCATGTAGATACTATTAGACTTCCACAATAAGCTGTCTGTTTAATAAGCTGGAAAATGATGTATTCTTAGGGAAAGTTAACTTGAATTTTACATTATTTCCTGGTGTAATAGAATGCTTTTTGGTTTCCTTAGCTTCATCGTGCTACTCATAGAGGGGAAGACGGACTGGATAAAGCTAGTGTACGTCGGATAAGTAAAATGTAAGTAACTGCTGAAATATATTTATTTAAATAAGGAACCAGTAAAGTAAGGTAAAATACCATAACACACTATCACCCTTGATGTAGGCTTTTCCTTGAAGTAGTTTAGTCACATCTCTTGACAAAAATATAATCGTAGATAGTTTTTCATATCTGTGGAAATCATAAACATCGCAGTTGTAATATTATTTAAATTAACAGCTATAATATATTATTTACCATCACAGCTGTGACACTTTTAGACACCATCAATTCTCATGTACATTATTTCCTGTTAGAACCTTTTTTAAACAATAATTTTGAATTGTGTAGTTGAGCGAATTAATCTTAAGAGTTTGGTATCTAATGTAAAACTTAGATAACTTGGTTCAACTTAAGTTTTCAAGCATGCTAGTTATTAATTTAATTAATTGTCATATGTTTTTCTATAGAAAAGAATATTATTTCTATCTAAGATATATTTCTATTTGTATCTTGAGTAAACTACTCTTCATTTATTGAAGTTTGCCGATACTTGATCACTAAGCAGAAAAGCTTTGTCAGAGCTTAAAAGTTTTAGTTTTATATACATAAATATAATATTAGTGGTTCTGCGCGTATTAATTCCGACTGTCTATTAATTGAAAAAAGAAAAATTAACTCGTGTTATGTTGCTGCTAAAACAATTTTCCATTTAACTGATCCATTAAATAATCAGCTGAGAAATCCAGTATTGTTTTATGAATGTACATGTAAAATGAACTAGAACAGAGAAGCATCTAAATGGTAACGGCTTTGTCAAGTTACTTAGAAACTTCCTCATACTAAGTAAATGATTTTTAACTCAGTGCTTGGATTAATGATGAGGATGAAAAAGAATTTATATCGAAGATTTCTAGACGTTTGGAGCTAACAACAGGACTCGGGGCTGATCGAAATAATTATGAAGCTGAGGCTTATCAGGTACAGTTTTTTTCTGAAAAATTAAACAAATTATTGTTCTAATACTCAACTAAATGTTATAGCACACACATTCTCAAGCCTGACGCAGATAGATAAATCACGTGAGGTGTACTTGTTACAATAATATTTTACTATACTAGTTTGTTTGATTTACACGCTAAAGGTTTGGTTATTGGTAAGTGCAAAACTACACAACAGCCCATCGAAACAATAGGGTAGCGTCGTCATTAGCCCCCAGTGGCACAGCGGTATGTCTGCGGACTTACAACGCTAGAGTCCGGGTTTCGATACCCGTGGTGGGCAGAGCACAGATAGCCCATTGTGTAGCTTTGTGCTTAATTACATACAAACAAACAAACAAACCGTCGCCTTTAAAAGATCATTACAGTTGTGTATATTAACCATGATGAAGCCGCAGAGGCGAAACTTTGGTTAAAAAAATATTTTATATATCTGGATTATAAAGGTCGTTTTTTTTCTAAACCTTTTACGAAGTTTAGTGTCATAAACCTGCAGACTTACTGCTAAGCCACTGGGGAACCACGCCAAATGAGTTTACCACCAGTGAAGCACAGGCTCTCCCCTTCCAATAAAGGAGTCCCGTCGTAGCACATTTGTCAGTGCGCAGTTCAGGTTGGATCGCACCATCCTAAGTTTCGAATTACAGTCCACAGGAACTCAACGGGTCGGCAGCAACTATTTTTACAATGAAACTTTATTATCATTTATTGTTTGTAACTTCATATTCTATTTTATTGACTTTATTATTTCGTTTTACACCAGGTATCAGTGTAAATAAGAAATTTTTAATTATGTGGCTTCTACTACTGTTATACGCTTGAGAGGTTTGACAATGGTCTTGGTACTCTCTCCGCTCTTCAGTAATCTCCTCAAGGTTTTTTAGTAATAAATCCCAATTCAATTAATTCAAGTAGTATTTGGGCTTTGACATTTTTACCGTGCTAAAGTCCCCTAAAAAAAAAAAAAAAACCTTGTATACAAAAAAGGGAAACTTACCATACTAAAATTCCTTTCTAATTCACATGCTATATTATATATAAAATATTATTTATTGTGTTATACAATATTTAGAGTAATAATAAGCCTGGAAACATGAAAGTATGAAATTCGACCTATTCAAGGTAAAATTATTGTGAATTACCGACTGTAGATTAAAAGATAAATAAATAAGTGAAATGCTTATCCGTATCCTACTCCGTGTATTGTGCAAGTTACCTATACCAGTGTTACGTATGACAATTTATAATAACTTAAAACTGAGTTAAATTGTAATTTAGATTTAGTAGTTAGATATTTGCCGGTATATAACCAATTTATGATATTTGCCAACAAGATTGATACACAGTTTTCTTTTTTCTAACACAAATACGTTTTAACATACACACAACAATACAATTTACAACAACAGTTATTACTAAACAATAATTTATATACAAAAGTTTTACAAACTTACAAGCAATATAAAGTCTTCTTTCTTAGTCTGGAACTTCTTTGATATCTTATCGAGGGT